GATTGTCGGCGCATTACGGCTACCGAGGAGCTTCGCGGAGTGATACGTACTGTGCATCAACGTAATATTACCGTATTGTGTGTGTATAAGGACCATAAATGGCACCTGTAAGAGACGTGGTTATGAAACGGATTTCAAACTCCAGGCTATCAGTCACACAGTAAAACTTGGGAACAGAGCAGCTGTGAAATCTGTCTGTCTTTGTTATTACGCTCAGCGTCTTTTAGTTTACATTTTGACTGCACAATTGTGAGCTCTTTGTTTAGCACAAAACAACCTTGTTTTCTTTTATTTATGGAGCATTATTATTTAATGAATGCTCATAATTTAATTTTGAGTAATTTTTTATGTACATCTGCGCTGTATGTTAATAAAAGTGCCTGTGTGACATCTGGGACACAGCTTTGACTAAGAACTCTCTTTTTGTTCTTACTTTATGGCTTAAAAAAAAAAATCGAGATATATATCTTATATCGCCATCCAGCTAAAAAATATCGAGATATGAATTTTGGGTCATATCGCCCAGCCCTAGCTTCAAGGTTTGATGTGCTGTGTTCAGACATGCTTTTCTGCATATCTTGGTTGTAACGAGTGGTTATTTGAGTTACTGTCGCCTTTCTATGAGATTGAAGTAATGTCACCTTCAATAAGGCATTTTCTCCCAGAGAATTGATGCTCACTGGCTTTTCTGACCATCTTCTGTAAACCCTAGAGATGATTCTGGGGGAAAAATCCCAGTAGATCAGCAGTTTCTGAAATACTCAGCGCAGCCTGTCTAGCACTAACAACCATGCTGCATCCAAAGTCCCTTAAATCAACTTCCTTCCTCACTCTGATGCAAATAAAGTGGTGGTTTAAAGTAGTGAATGATTTAGCCTTACATAATAATGATAATAATGTGGTTCATGTATGCAGATGGCTGTCCCCTCTGAGCCTCATTCTGTTGTACGTTTCTTCCTGTTAAAAGGGAGTTTTTCCTTCTCACTGTCGCCAATTGCTTGCTCATTGGGGGTCTTCTGACTGTTGGAGTTTTCACTGTATCACTGTGGGGTCTTTACCTTAAAACATAATGTGCCTTAAGGTGACTGTTGTTGTGACTTGTTGCCATATAAATACAAGTGAATTAAACTGAATTGTTTAATCCTTTTTTAAAAACGTTCTTAAGCACTTTTTAGAGTCCTATGCTAGACTGGCAACCTCTCCACTATGCATGTATGGATGCATGGCATTTATTTGGTGGGTAAAAAAAAAAAATTGTGAGCAAGGAACATGGTGGCTAGCCAGAAAAAACCAACCAACCAAACAAAACAACCTTTGACTGCCACCCAGATTTAGGCCAATATGTGACCTTCAAAAGCCAGATGAAAGATTGACAGCCAACCTCATCTCTATGGAGAGTTTAAGGTTGACTGACAGCTGTCAACGCCCCGTTTCCCCACCCCACCGTGCAGCTTGAAGTCATCATCTATCAGAAGCAGAACTATGTCACTTTCTCTCCATCGCTCTCTCTCCCTTTTACTTAATCCCTCAGTCAGTTTAACAACTGTCTGTAGCTTTGACCTGGACCCCGTTAATACATAATCTGCTATCTCCAGAACGAACATGCCACAACCCTCCCCCACCATCGTGCCAGGCCTAAGCAAGCAAGAAAATTGCGGCTAGTGTGTCAGTCATGCATTGCAGAGCAAAGCAAAGCTGACGTGAACTGGCACTGAGTCACCTGGCCAAAGTCCGTGATGAGGGGGTCAACGCCCTCAGCAGGGGTGGAAGTAAAGAAGGTAGAGTCCTAGAGTAGCTTATATTGTGTTTATGCCAGTTTGGGGGTGGGGGTGTCCTAGTTAGCCCTGCTCTAGGGTATTCCATAAAGCATCATATAGTGAGGTTGGTGGGGCCATGCCATCTGCATTTACACATGGGCTATTAATTCAAAGGGAAATTCTTTCTGCTTCTGGATGCAACATATTGCTAATGAATTATTTGAGGTATTCAGAATATCCAATTTACAATCTCATAACTTATTCAACAAAAAATGTTAGAGAAGCATTATTGCTGCCATCTATCCATTTTCTATTACTTGTCCAGATTCAGGTTGTAGGGACAGACCTCTATCTCCCCAGCAACCATTTTCGGCTCTTCAGGGGTGATATCGAGCCACTTGTGAGACCTCATCTCTCTAGTGTGTCCCGAGTCTACCTTCACGAATTCTCTTGGTTGGAAAAACCAGAAACACCTCACCTGCCTGGAGTTAATGCTGCTATTAAGACTAATAGTGTTACCTGATAAAACAACATTACAACATTTTACCTGACAGGCTGAAACATACTATATTGCTAAGTCTGAATTATGTTATCTTTTTTGGAAAAAAGTAACCAAAACCTCCAAATAACTACTTAGCCATCCCAAAATAAGTGGATGATTTTTTTGCATTTTTTTTTTCTAAATGCATTAGCTCAGCCTGCCTTTTTGTATAAGGAAAAAAACGGATGGAGTAAATTTGCAGTGTTTTATGACAATGGAGCGACCCTTTAACCAAAAGCAAATCTGCCTACGATTACCACCAAAACCCATGTTGCCTAGCAACGTACAATTTAGGAACATGCTTTCAGAGCAGCTTCTGCGGACGTGTCCATTAACAGATGAAATTACCAAAGCAACAAATGTCAGCCACATGCAAATGAGGTCTACTCTGCTGACTGTGTGTGTACTAACAATGTGATATATGTGTATGACGCAGACATGAAGAAATCTGTTTCCAAAGCATATTTTGACTATCGAGTTCTTTTAATGTCTGCTCTTTTGGGCTTAAAAACAAAAGAAAACAAAGGAACAAAACACACACACACAAGAGGACAACAAAGCTGTCTCCGTTCAATAATGTGTATCCAGCCTGTCCTGTACATTTTAAGTCTATTTCAATCCACTATCTATGTACAGAAGGTCTCACGGAAAGCCAGAAGGCTGGTCTGAGCAAAATGGGACTATCTATGGATTACTGCAGCAAAGGAAGGATTAAGCCTCACTCCCTGTACTCATCAGAACCTGCAAAGAGAGAATGACACAATCACCCATCGGCCATCAGCAGTGTAATTCGATTTTATCTGACCAGTGATGCTGCTAGTCAGCCTCGGGTGAGCTGGTGCTGATGGAGAAATCGGCCTTTATTGCCCAGCCTATAAAATCAACTTCTATCAGGCCATGGGATTTAAATATAATTTAGGTAGCCACTCTTGTGCTGATTTAAAGCTTTAATCTGATATCCAAATAAATCTGACCGACTACACAATGAGGATGAATTGACTGAATGCATTTTATTTAATCCGGAATTGAAAAGTGAATTTGGGACACAACCCATTAAATAAACACTAAAAAAACAGAAACAAAGAGGAGTCTCAGAAATAAAATGAATTAGCAGATCTGTTCATGAGGAACAAGGTAAGGCTAATTGCTATTCTACGCAGGTTGGCGGTACACCTTGGCAGGCAGAAGGGCCTGAAGGAATGCTGTGTGGCCCGAGTGGCTATAAAGCTTTTCGAGGCTACCGTGATGCATCCTTATTATCACAATGAGGGAAGATATCTGTGTTTACTGCAACAAGGGCTCAGGGGCCATGGGGAGACGGTGCAAGGCACAGAAAAAGAGGATGTGATCAAAAACAGCTGCAGTTACAATGACACCCCAGCTGAAGAGCTACACAACTAATGCTGCAATCACCATTATGCAACATCTTGAATCCTATACAGTTGTGGCAGAACAAATTCTTTTTTTTTTCTTAAATGGCCTGTTGATTTTGCTTTTGCGCCAAATAGTTACCATTTGATACAGCAGATAAGAGCTAAATTATTTTGAAAAAAGCATATCTGCAGAAGGAGTCGGTGGCAAACTCAATCCCACATACTGCACACAGATGCACACACAAGCTACCTCCTGTTCCCACACAATAATTGCACACAACATCTGACTTCTCTAGTCAAAGAAATCCTAATGTGAACTGTTCACACATGAATGCGGTGACTGACAGACTGTAACATGAAGACCGTGCACAGTTGTTAAATTTTAAAACATATCAGAAAGGTTGCTGACAGCTGTTCCTCCCAAATCCTCTATATTGCGCCTCGTCAATGCCATTCGTGTTGTATTTAATGGGCGATATCTCATTCTGACAAAGGAACTGCATGAGATTAGTGAAATGACAAAAGGTCTTCAGAGAAAGTAACAGGAATTCTGACAAATCAGGCTCTCACAGAGATAAGCAGACGAGAAAGTGAGATGTAAGTATCGGCTTAGGACGTGGGGTAGATTACAAGAATGCTTAAAGCAAAAAGTTATCCTTTTATGGTAATAATTCAAAATCTGGACAGCAGCTTTATAAAAAATAGACAAGGGCAGCAAGAAAAGACACATCATTTATCTACTGTTGATGTAATTAGTGCCAAGACAGGAGAGGAAACAAATGACAGCACAGACCAGAAAGATAAAACGATTCAAAAAGTCTTCCATTAACATTCAAACTGTGTTTGGATTTTTTTAAGGTCAAGAATCATGCATAGCATACCAGTATCCATGCTGAGCTAAATAGATTTCACATACCCCTAGTCTGAATGCTGGTATAAAGCAAAGTATGCTGGTATAAAGCGAAGGCTTATCTGGTATTCACTTACTCATGATTCATCACAACAAAGGATGAAAATAGATTTACAGTGTCTTCTCCTTTTATTTATTTTTTTAAAGAAACAACTGCTGAATGGCTCTTAGAAATGTCAAAGTAATATTTAAAAGTTGATATGATTTCTAACAAAGCAGCAGTACTGCTTTGTGCTGCTCCTGAAAGCAATGAGAGGAATGGGAACTGGTATCTTACATAAATCACACACAAAATGAAGAGCTCTGTCACAAGTGAACAGCCTTATCTATTGAAAACATGTGAAACAGCCAAGAGCACATCTATCATGAAAACAGACAAATACCAGATAAATCTAAAAGGAGAAAAAAATAGGATTTACTTGTATCTGGAGATGCCATAGTCGACACGATGACTGGTGGACCCGTGCGTCGACTTAGCTTCTGGTTAGCAGCCAGGGCACCTTGGCCTTGAACGGGTGCTCCCACGGGAACGAGAGCATTGTCTGATCCTGGTCCCCCACCCTTTCGGATCAGCTGAGGACTAGGGTGAGGGCTGTGCATGGGTGACAATGGCACTAAGTTCCTGTCCCTCTTCATCAGCTCTATGGGCACTGTGTAGTTGGTAGAGTATGCTTTTGGTACCTGTTGCGGTGGCTGTGGTAAAGCAGGCATGGATATAGGCATCTGCTGTGGCATACCTGGCATCGAGTGAATGGACCCCGCAATGGCAGGCATTGACCCAGTCATCTGGTGAGGCATTATCTGCATACCTGGCATAGGCACCCCTGGCATCCCAGAAGAGTAGGCTGACATGGGTCTTGACTGGACAGGCATGAGGGCTCCAGCGTATGGCCCTGGTGAACGAGGGGGTTGGCCTGGGTATCCTCCAGAGGCCTCCAGTAACTGCTGCGAGGGAGCACTGCTGGGCCTTCTACCGATTACTTCTCCCATCCGCGGAGAGATAGTTTGCATGGCCCCAGGTGTTGGTGGGGGCATTAGTTGGGGATCTACTGCTAAAGGTTGTGGGGTATGTGGTGGATGATGATGGTGGTGGTGTGGTTGATAGATGTCTGCGCGATGGCTAAAGCTATTAGAGCGACCTCGCATGGGCGTTTGAGGTTGGGAGGGGGCTGGTGTAGCTTCTATTGGGCGCTTGTAATGGTGGACCAGGCGAGACAGCACACGAGCCTGACCGAGGTTTGGGGCAACTGTGCGGACATCATTCTCCTCCATGACAGCCAGCATGCTAGTGGAGTCAAACCCCTGCTGGATAAGTGAGGAGATGGTGCTCTCTGAGAGGCCCTCGTTTCGCAACAGAGAAAGAAACTCTGGATCGACCGACTTCTTGGGATCCACTGGCAAAGGAGTCTGTGGGGCGGTTGGTGGAGGAGCGGGAAGAGGGGCAGGGAGTGGAGTAGCTGGGGGAGGAGGGGCTGGAGTTGGAACCACTTGCAGAGGTGGAGGTGCAGCAGGGGCAATTGCTGCAGTATGGACTGGAGTAGGTGGAGCAGGAAGTGGTGCAGCCATAGAAAGGTTAGGGTCAGTGACCGGCATGGTAGGCGGAGGTGGCAGAGGTTGAGGTTGTTGCTGTTGCAGATGGTGTTGCTGCAACTGTTCTTGCTGAAGATGCTGTTGCTGAATTTGCTGTTGTTGTATTTGTTGCTGTTGTAGTTGTTGCTGCTGTAACTGCTGCTGCTGAAGTTGTTGCTGTTGGAACTGCTGCTGTTGTATTTGTTGATGCTGTTGTAACTGTTGCTGTTGTATTTGTTGCTGCTGTTGTAACTGTTGCTGCTGTATTTGTTGCTGATGCTGTAATTGATGCTGTTGCTGGATGGTTAACGGTGAGGCTGTCTCTTGCCTCATAATCATGCTTTGACTGGCTGGATCTACCACTAGACAGGTGGCAGCCTGCTGCTGCGGATCCAGAGGGCGGCCATTAGCATCAGTATAAACGGACTGACTTGTCAGAGGCGGAGGCTCACTGGCATACCGAGGAGACGGCTGCTCCATTCCATAGTGAGCAGGAGGGGGGTCTCGAGGGGATATCTTAGCAGAAGTTATAGCACCAGGTTCCCTATATGCCCTATTCAATTCATGAGTGCTTGGAGGAGGGGGAGGAGGTAAAGGTGATGGGGGCCCTTGAGATCCAGCCCGCACTACCTGACCTTGATCCCACGCAGTACGAGCCCCAGGTGTCATTCCTAAATGTGAGCCTGACCTGCTGAGAGGATGAGGCAGCGGAGGCTGATGCTCAGATCGGTAAAAGGCCTCCGGTGGCCGAGGAGTCATGGCTGGGTCATGGGAGTAATAGTCCTGGTGTGGAATGGATCCTCGATGAGCCATGGGCACTCGTTCGTAGTGGTTTAGATCTGGCACAGAGCCCTTCCTAAGCCCCCGTGGGTCGTGTCTCTCGGCGTAAACCTGTCCGTAAAGGGAATCTTGGTAGGAATACGGGTCGCGTTTCAAATCGAGGTCAGGAAGACGCACCCCAGGTGGTGGCTCATACCACCCTCCTCCCTCTCCGTATGACAAAGAGCTCCGCCGGCCTGTTACTCTTGCCTGCTGTTCGTACACGCTGTCAGGTCTTTCCCACTGACCCTCATTCCCCCCTAACGTGTCCCAACTGTGGGAGCGTCCGAGGCTCACTTTGTTAGGGACAAGCATTGGCGAAAAAGAAAAAAGCTGAAAATCTGTTAACAGAGGAAAGAAAAAAAACACAGAAATAGAAAAAATAAAGAGCTCCCAACAGGCAGTGTGTGTGAGAGAGAGAAAGTTCTCTTTCAGGTCTTCATGTGCAGCAGCAACAAAAAAATTGAACGGAGTGAGAAAGGATGAAGATGAAGCAAAGTCTAGCGTTTCACCTGATATCTGTTTGTAATATTGTAAGTCCGTACTATCAGGTGACTTCCCCCTTTGCTGGCAGCCCTTGAATAATTAATCTCTGGCCATGCTGGCTTGTTGCGCATGAGGAAAGAGGACACCACACACAAACATATCCACATCACACCAAACCACACAAACACTGCAGAGGTAGAAGACACAGAAACAGAGTGCATGCTTGAGCTAGCCAGCAAACATTCATCCAAAAAAAAAAAAAAAAGGGGGGGGGGGGAAGAAGTGGATAGGTTGGGTTATAGGTTGGGATGGGCAGGGGCTTGTACTAATCCAATAGGGTTTAGCTGTCCCTTCTCCGGGACATTTTACTTGCTCTGCCGATTGCTATGAGGGATTACACCTAAATAAAGCCTGTTTAATTCCACATCCAACTGTGACGTCATGTGAACCAGATACGAGTGTATCTGGTGATGGTGATGAGTATCGTGATCATGGTAATGCCAGTGATTTTGATTCCATTCCCAAATCCCTTACCCGCTCTTTCAGAGACACCTACCTGAAGCTGCTGCTGATGCGCTGCCGTCAACAGGTCTCAGAACGTAGTTTGGCCGAGTGATGGCGAGGGGAGGGGAGGCCAGGCAAGACGTACAGCTTCATTGAAAACAAATGAAATACAGGTCTCCCAGCTAAGTCCCATGTGCTGTCAGTAAACATCAAATCCACTCTGATTGGACACTAATCCTCCAGGCCCCATGCTTGCAGCAGAGCCACCACGCAACTGCTGCCCAACTCTCTGTGAAATGTCCTTGATGGCTCTGTGGTGCTTACTGACAGTGCCTCACTCTCTTTGATTTGGGATCAGTCAGACCTGCTGTCTGTATGTAAAATGCAGGACAATGAAAATTGTGATTGCAGAATGCATGATGAAATCCACACGCAACATCTGTCCTCAAAATGAATGAGTGAAATACGTCACTTTGTACAGACCCTCAGTATAATTTAATCTGGCCATTTATATTACAGTTCTATCTATATGCATCTTACTGTCAGTAAAATACAGCACCTTCCCCCTCTTTCACAAATCTCCTCTGATCTCCTTCACTTAGGGAGGCTCTGTAATCTGGATTTGCCCCTTTGCAGAGAAAACTAAAACACCGGGGAGGGGGATACGAGTGTGTGCACATATGTGTGTGAAGGGGGAGGGAGGGATCTTTTTGTAACAGCAGTTAATCCCAATGCACCTACAACCTTCGCTGAGCAAGAGCACCAAAACACAATCTCATTTCAATTTGTTCAAACAAGGAGGCGTATGAAAACAAAACAAACTGTGCTATGTATCATCCAAGAGACATTCATTAAGTTGTAATTAACTGGATACATTTATCATTTCAATTAAAAAAGGTGATTTTCATTGCGTGGCTCTAAAGGTGTCCTTACCCAGCTTTCTGCAGGTCTTACTTCATGCCGTTGTGGCTGAAACCCGATCCTGATCTGGATCTTGTTTATTAATGCATGAAAACACATGTAAGATGAGGAAGTGTCCATCTGAAATTCCCTCTCAGAGACAGCGAGGGTGTGGTGATATATAAGACCAAAGCCTTGGTTAATATCGGTGTTAATGGAAAACTCCTGAATACTCTCATTGGCACCAATATTTTGCTTAATCGGAGTTGTGTAATTAAAAGAAGGAAGAGACCAAAGAGGGAGACTTTTTGGCTGTTTTCTGAGAGCTTTTCTGAACTGCTAGCCTGCTTCATGTGAGAAAGGAAATTAAAAGGGAAGGAGAGGAGGCACGAGTGAACCATCACAAAGATCTAAAACAGACTGTAAAGATGAATTATTAAATCAAAGCAGAGGAATGGGGGGGGGGGGGTCACTTTTGAATCCCATTTTGAATTTATTAACCAATGGGGGGGGGGGGGGGTTACATTCATTCAATCTACGGGTGTTATTCACCACCTGAAGACACGCAGTATTTTCTGTGTTTAATGTTAAACTTGGACAACACAGAAGCAACTTTCCATGCTGTCATAATCCAAAATGATTATTCATTTCCAAAAGTCAGACTTCACATATCATTCCTAATTGAGACGCTTGCCTACAACCATCATCGCAAGGCTGACAGTCTTTATTGAGAACTGAATAATGCTGCTTAGAGCTGGAAAAAGAAATATCGCTAGCTCTCTGTCAGTATATTCATTAATATATCCACATTTGTGTCAAGGGCAGCAGGGTAGTAAAGACCGACTTCCTTCCCTAACCTCATCCGCTCCTCTCATTACTTTTTCTGCCCTGGTTCTCGAGCGACTCAGTACAGCAGAGCAGATCACTCATGCCCATAAAGTCAACTTCAAATAGAGAGACGGGAGCAGAGGTGTGTGCTCAGGGTTTGCGGATCTAATCCTAACAGGAAAGCAAATCACGGCGTTCTGTTTGCTTCAAACTAAACAATGTCTGACTGTCAAATTTTAATGTTCCAACATTTGCCATACTTCCCCGACTGTGCACACAACGCCAGATTTCCCGTAACAGCAGGATTAAGGAATTAAGCCGAGGATTTTTAGAACAAATATAATACCACCCCAGCAGAAGCTTATAGAGACCCTAGACTGAATAAGATTTGACTGGTTAAAAATTCAAAAGCTCTAAAACGTATAGAAGCCTCAAGTAAATGAACCTGGAGTGAAAATGCAGTTATGGCATTAATAGATTACAGAAAATACTTCTCTATGTTTTCTCTGGTTTTACTTTTTAAGAATCAGAAGAGTGCACTTTTCTCAGTATTAAAGAGAAACGCATTAAGAAGCAATTTACATGAATGGTGTGCAATTGCTAGACCTATGGCTAATCCATTGCACAATACGAATGCCATTGTTTAATAAACATGCTTCAACTCTCTGTCACTCAGCCCTCTCAAACATTGCAGCTAAGCCAGCGGGACAACCAGACGTGGGTCACTTTATGTGTCCACATGGTCTTATCATGCAAAATGTTTGCATGCTTTACCAAATGTCAAATCAGAAGGTTTACATGCAACAAGCAGATTTAGAAATCTGAGGTCTCTCCACACGCACACACAGATATTTGGCTTGAGCAATCCCATATCCCCACTCAGCTTTTTGACCCTGCTCTGCTCTTCTTCTGACATGCAGCACAGACAGCAGTGGCCACGGTGCTTCATTAATGCTCCTTTTCATTCACATGCGCAGACTGCTGCTAAAGCCTTGGCCTTGGTCTAGTGTGCATACATGAATAGGAATCACACGCTAACTCAAAGTGAATATAACAGGAATAAAAAACAACTGTCTCCTAGAGTGTGACACGCCACGTACCAAAGGCATGATTCGAATGTTAAACACACATTGACTTATGCATGAGCGCGAGGCAGGAGGCACTAACTGGAAATGGGATTACAATGCCAACACTGCTGCAAAGAATAATGCTGTCAGATGAATTGCAATGCAGCCTTAACAGACATTATGTACATGACTGGCTTATATGTGATTCCAGTGGGATTATTTGTCTCTAAAGGCAACTCCATGGGGAATGAATGGACAGTAAAATGGAGGTAGATGACAATGAAGCTGGTACTTATCTAAATGACAATCATACACAGGGCAAAATTCATAAGTGACACAATTCTTTCCATTTTTGCTGCTACATATACACACACAGCAGCAGAAGCCCGCAAATTCTCCAGAATTTCCTCTATGTCAGCTATGTTACACTGTGATCCCTCTACACATAATCCATCTCCATTGCGTGCATCCCATCATCCCACCTCTCCAGCCCATCCTTCATCCAGTCCCTAGCCTGATCCAAGGAAGCCACAAGTCATTAAATACTCCTTGTCGTAGCTGAGGAGTGCATTTGATTTCTTCCAGGAGCCCATTTCCAACTTTTAACAAAAGTGCTGTATGCCAGCATAAACAAAGCCAAATAGAGGCACTAGATGTAAGAAAACAAACAAGCAAAGTCACATGCTAATGACAATAACAACAAAATCACACATGACAGTGTTTTTCCCTCCAAATATAACACTGTTGTATCTTTGCTTTTCTGCTCCCCTCGCTCAGTTATGCTCTCCATAAAGCCTATAAAGGGGTCGTGGATTTTGGTGAGGAGCCTGGAACAAGCCCGAAGGCAGGGTGGTGGGATGGTGGCGGGGGGAGCTCTGACCCAGACACCACTCCGATGACTTCACACAAGAGCTGGATGCCAGAGTATGGAGAGAGTAGGGTGGATAATGGGGGGCAAGGGAGGGTTAAAAGCAAAAAGGTATATGTAGCAGAGCCCCGAGTGTGCTAAAAAGCTCAGGATACAGAGGCCCCATGCACCTCACCCCCTCCCCCTCTGGGGTGTGTGTGTGTGTGTGTGTGTGTGTGTGTGGGGGGGGGGGATGACATCAGGACAACTCCACCCTTTTTTCCCCCACTACGTCCCTGCTTGTCCTCTCTGTTTAATTTGAAGCGTTTGGTTATAATGAAAAAGCGTGCAGGTCCGTTAAATGCGAGGAGATGAATAATTCACGGGCAAAATTTTACAGTGTAGCGGCTTGACTGGCCACATTATTTACTACTCTCTGTTAAAACATTTCTCCCCGTTGTACACATGACAAAACAAGATGCATTATCAGGCATTAACATATTTATTTAACTGCCAGCTAAAGCACTTGGAGTCGCCATGACAAATTCCACTACCCCACCTTGTGGTGTTTGCGTCCAAGCACAGATTCTCAACTTGTAAATCAACATTCAGGAACATGCTGTCGCTGCGACCTAGTTCACATCGCAGCGCCATTCACACCCCGTCTCTGCCTGGATCAGTCAGTTAGCTCTGGCTAAATAGCAATGGCAACAACTTGCATTGCTGCCCAAGCCAATGCATGCTGGGTACACAGATGGAGCAGACAGAAGGAGACAGAGAGAGGAGAGAGTTAGAAAAAGGAGGGGGAATGACAGAGTATGGGAACTGATGCTCACAACAGATGTTTGCCATAGTTCCCTTATTGCGGTTACACTCTTCTTGGCACTTTATCAAACCCACAAAGAGGAGGAACATTTGCACTATATAAATTTTAGAAGCTGATATCAAAACTAAACAAAAGAGAAACAAGCGGAAACATCTCTGTAATCAAATAGGACTCACTTTCATGATGGATTAATAAGTTTAATAAACTCCCTCTATGTCG